TGTGTGTGTGTGTGTGTGTGTGTGTGTGTGTGTGTGTGTGTGTGTGTGGTGTGGTGTGTGCTGGAGGGTGTGTTAGTGGAGAATTTTTCATCTTCAAACTCCTTACCGAACACCAGATTTTAGCATTGTCTCCAAATTCACTAGATGTAGGGTTATAAGTCAGAATGAAGAGATCCTCATTTTAGCTGCTTAGCTATTATCACCTTCTAGGGGAACACAATCCCTAGGAAAAGCCGATTATTCTACAGCCATATTCGAGTCTGTCTATATAACAAAGTGCTAAAGATTTGAAGACAGAATGTCTGAATTTAAATGCTACCTCTACCAATCTCTAACCGTGTGATATGAAGTAATTTTCTTAACTTCTCTAAAAACCGGCTCCTTTCTCTTTAAAGAAGTGCGAATAAGGCTAGCCCTTACCTTCTGCAGGAAGATTTCCAAAAATGTCAACTGCTAAGCTCTTAGGGTGCTGGTAAAAATTCAAAAACTTAAAAGTGCAAATCAGACCTAGCTTCAGATGATCTGTTTCAAGAAAAGGGGGGTTTCTGGAAGTCTACATAGCCATGAACAACCTGATTCAAAACTCAGAGATCTTACACCTGCAATCCCAGCACTTTGGGAGGCCAAGGCGGGAAGATTGTTTGATCCCAGAGTTCAAGACCAACCTGGACAACATAGCAAGACCTCATCTCTACAATAATAATAGTGATTATAACACAACTATTATTATTATTATTAGCAGGGCAAGGTGGCACGGGCCTGTAGTCCCAGCTACTTGGGAGACTGAGGTGGAAGGATTGCCTGAACCCAGCAAGTGGAGGCTATGGTGAGCCATGATTGTGTCACTGCATTGTCCAGCCTGGGTGAGAGTGAGACCCACTTCAAAACAAACAAACAAAAAAATCGCAAAATTTCTGGTTGTCTTCAGACCTACTGAATCAAACCATGGGAGAGGGCTCCAGAATTTTAAACATGCATTCAGGTTGACACTTGCATACTCAAGTTTGAAGTCCACTGATATCAGTTTGTTGAAGGACTAAATGGATAGATGGTGTGAGTGCTTAGCATCGTATCTTGTAGATAATAGTCACTTCCTAGGAGTGAGTGAGGAATATTGATGTTGATTTGTGAGATCACAGCAAAGGAAGTTAGCAGAATAGTCTTCATGACCTGTACCACAGAGCTGCTAGGACCTGTGGAAACTTCCTGGTAAAGCAGACACTACAGCTGATCATTTGGTAGTCGTTGTGTGCTCAGAACCACTGTCCTATTTTGCTCTTTATTGCCTTTTTTTAGATGCCAAGCAGCTATCCCTTTATCTCCATATCTACCATGTCTCCATTAGTCTTGCATTTCTTTCCCATCAAATCATTTCTTCTGTAGATTTCCATTCCAGGCACTGTTCTTCTAGTCTGACCAGTATGACCCTCAGGTGGCTGTGGCAGATAGCTAAGGGCATCCCTAGTTTTTACTCCAGAAGTGTCCATTTTTATTTATTTGAGTAAGGATAGCATTGTGTCCATTTTGTAGATCAGAAGACTAATACTCAGAGATGTTAAGAGACTAATCCAACCTACATATAGCTTCTGAGTGCTAGAATGAAGTTTTAAACCTAGGTTTTCTGATTCCAAGTCCAGTGTTCTCTTGTACTAAAACACAGGAATTTTACCAAAGTATTCATTGGAGCAACTAATTTTTTTTAAGGCATATGTTCTACTAGAATTTTCAAAAAGTCATTCAGAAATGAGGTTGATTAATTGTTATCTGAATACTAGGAGGTTAAGCTTCTTTAACTTTGAGAGCAGAGCAAAGCAAATAATGACTTTTCTTTGAGAAACCAAAGAATAAACCAGGCATTTTGCCATGTTGCTTGGCCATGTGACTCAGCCAGAGCACCAAGATGGCCGACACTAGCCATGCGTCAGGACAAGAGTCAACTGTCAGAGTGCAGTTAGCCCTCTAAGCACCTCCATCTGTCATCCCGTTGTCACACTCATCTCTTCTCCCTCACCTTGAGAAGCTACTGGAGCAGTGCTTCATTAATTAGACCTGCTAAAGCTCATTCTGGAGTCTCTGTAGGAGGTGCAAAAAGCACTGAACCCTGACTACTTGGGAATCAAAGAAGCATTGCCTGACATGGATAAAAGCAGGACAAGCTAGCTCAATGTCTAGAGCAAAAGCCACCTGTCTGAGAGGAAACAGCACACAGTTATATCCCCGTAGGGAAGCAAGTAGACCGTACTGATAGACTCAACATAGGTCTATGACTGGGCCTATGTTAAGTCCACCCCTTCTTGCCATCGGATCACCCCTCTATCATGGTGCTTGTCAAATCCACTTTCTCTTGGTCATGGTCTTTTTAGATCTCTTTCATCCCTACTAAGTAGTAAACTCTTCCAGGGCAAAGATTCTGTTTTATGTATGCTACCATGCTTGATTCAAAATAGGTGTGCAGAAAATGTTTTCAGGATAAATAAATAAATTGTTCTTTGACTTTAACATGATTTTAATTTTTAGATGCTTGTAGCACATAGCTCTATTAAGATGGCACCCAACATAGTTGTCATGGTATGGGGTAGGACATCAATTCTCACCCTCACCTGCATTTCTGCTTCTGACTAGAATGAAGTCAGTACATTGGCTGGACTATGAGGCTATTGCAATGTGGAGGAGACAGGTTAAATCCAAGCACTCCGTTTAGGTAATGTTTTGAAGAGCGTACCCTGTCTGTGGATAAGAGAACTGGCTTGTTCCTTGTGTCTTCTAAAATTCAGAACCAGTGGGTATTACTTGGAGCTTTCTTGGGATTCACAGACAAGAACAACCGAACAAGTAAACTTGTCGATCAGGCAAATTGACTGATTCAGAAGAAGAAAATTCTTCAACACCGATCATAATCAAGCAGAGGGTGTCCAATCAGCAAATAATGAGAATCTCTGCATTAGGTGGTCTATCATTAGGTTACCTTGAAGGTGACAATCATCTCTAAGAGTCTTTGACTTCAGTCTGCCCATGACACTAACATTTATTTTCTAACCCTGTTGTTCACTTAGGTGTGGATTTAGCCCTCTATCCCAATGAATTCAGTCCATTTTAAGGGTTAACATTTAGGCAGAGATATCGGGTCAACTCAACAAAGTGATCAATCAGTGTGGTAGCCTGTGCTGAATCAGGTTGTTTGTGGCTACACAACTTTCTTGTTTCCATTAATTAGACGCCACTCTTTTCTCAAAGCAGATTCTCTGAAGCTAGGTCTGATTTGCACTTTTAAAGAATTGACTGAAAAAGGAAGGTTGCTAAGTAAAGGAACTGAAATGCAAGTGAGTGCCTGCTACCTGGATTGCCAAAGCTGAGAATCCCCAGCCAGCCACCAGAATCAGGAAGGACTTTAGATAATTCAGTTGTAACTAATTTTGGTATGAATTCATCATTTTGGATTAATTCATTAAATGCTAAATAAAAAATTCTTTTTATTTATTTTTAATTATTGTGTTTTAGATTTAAAGAGTACATACATAGGTTTGTTACCATAGGTATAGTGTGTGATGGTGAGCTTTGGGCTTCTATTGAAAAAATTATAAAATCTTTTTTTTTTTTTTTTTTTTGGGTAAGAGTCTCACTCTGTTACCCAGGCTGGAGTAGAGTGACCTGATCATGACCACTGCAGCCTCAACCTGATGAGCTCAGGTGATGCTTCCACTTCAGCCTTCCGGGTAACTGGAACTACAGATGCATGCCACCACACCCAGCTAAGTTTTTTATTGTAGAGATGAGCTCTCACCAAGTTGCCCAGACTGGTCTTGAACCCCTGGACTCAGACAATCCTCTTGCCTCTGCTTCCTAAAGTGCTGGGATTACAGGCATAAGCCACTGTGTCCGGCAATAGCGTTTTCTAATTACCAGATATTTGAAATATTTGTATAACTCCATCCTCCCTCAGCAACTTGTCCCACATCATTTGATGACCTGTTCCTGTTGCATTTTCACATATTTTGCAAAATGTATAAGTACAATCAAATTGTGTTCACCATCATGTTTTTCTTCTTGCAGACGAGCCAAGGAGATTGTGCTGAAGTTTGAAGGGAGGCTGACCAGGACCCGAGGCTACCAAGCAGCAGGTGCAGAGGTAAAAAAAAGACACACACATGTGGGCACCACCGCACCTTCCTGTGGTCTCTAGGGCCAGGAAGTTGTGTTTGCTGTCACAACTGCCACTATATGTAGGTTGTGAGCGTCAGCCTGTTAATACAGCTGTAGATCCAGATCATGGTACTGAAAAGTATGAATTTTCCCAAACTTGGATTTGAGTCCCACATGCTATCCCTTACCCATCATGTGAGCCTGGGTAAGCCTAAGTCATCAGGGAAAAAAGATGTCTTCCCTGACAATAGTGACCCGGCACCTTTCCTGAGTTAGTCCCACCTATATATGTAGGCTTTATTGACTGTATACAGCTATAGCCCTTATGAAGAGGAATTTTCGGGCACATGCTCATTTTATAACACAATGCTAAGGTTTTTGTTTGCTATTTTCCCCATTCAGTTACTTAAAGCAAAACTTTAGTATGCATTGAAATTATCTGCTTATAATGACATTTCATAAGTGTTTAGAAAACAAAGAAAAAAAATCACCTCTCCCTTTCAATCTTCTACTCCCAAATATAGTATCTTTTAAAAATTTTCACATCACAGTAATTGCAGTGTACAAACATTTTAGTCTTCTTATTTTTTTATTTTTATTTTTTTGCTTAACACTATAAGGATTTTTTCATGTTGCTATATACTTTTCTTTTTTTTTTTTTGAGTGGGAGTTTCACTCCTTCGCCCAGAATGGAGTGCAGTGGCCACTCCCGACTACCGCAGCCTCGACCCACTGGGCTCCGGCGATCCTTCCACCTCAGCCTTCAGAGTAGCCGGAATTACAGGCACACACTACCATGCCCGGCTGATTTTTTTTTTATTTATTGTAGAGATACGGTCTCGCCAAGTTGCCCAAGCGGGTCTCGAACCCACGGGCTCAGGCAATCCACTCACCTCAGCCTCCCAAAGGCACAGGATTACAGGCTGAGCCACTGAGCCCGGCTGCTATATACTTTTCATACTTAACTATTTTCAAATGCCTATGTGATATTCCATCAGATAAATATATATTAATTTGATTAGTTATTCATCTGTTGTTGGATATTTAAGTTGCTTCTAATTTTTCATTATTATTAATAACCCTACAAGGAACATCTTTGCACATACAACTTTTTTTCCTGTTTTTTGAATTCCTTTCTTAGGGTGAATATCAGAATTGTGATCATTATAGGAAAGACTGTAGTCCATTTTTTGGCTTTTGATAAATATTTAATGACTATTTTCCAAAAGCCTTGATGACATACACTGTCACTCACAATGAAAGAAAGTATTGGTCTCATAATACCTGTAACATTGACTATTATATTTTTAAAAGTTTGTCATTTTAACAGACAAAAACTGACAGATATACTTCTTTTAGATGATCTGAAACAAAAATATTGTTAATGAAATTTAAATTAAAGCTGGTCATAAATTTTGCATGTCTGAAATATTATAAAATACCAAAAATTATAATATATCAAAAAATCCCTAAAGATCTGCCTTGACATTCTTTCTCCTTATTCTTCACAAAATCTTCTTGAAAACTCTAACTTGCTTTTATGACCAAAATCACCCATGACACCTATCATACTGGGATGGAGTTTATGGAATAAATTACTTTTCTATAAATATATGCACTGCCAAGCTCCCTTGTTTTCTCTCTATAAGCAGAAATGCTGTAGGAAAACATCTATAAATAATATAAAGTCTTTCACTTGAGTTCAGATCACTTTAAACATATATAGCAATGAAAAGGTAGTGGGACTTTTAGTATTAGTAAAGTCGGTATTAACTAAAGGTATAACTTGATAATGGGCTGAATTATTAGAAGCAGAGTTTTTAGAATGAATCAGTTAATCCAAATGTTTAACTCACTCCTCTGTCCTCCATCCTCTACTATAAAATGTCCAGTTTGTGCTATCCCACACATTTGTACTGGCAGTTCTCACTCCTAAATAGCTACTCTTCCAAGTCTCAGCTCAAGTATGACCTTCCCAGCTAGACCTTCCCTGACCCAAGGTCATGCTTCCCTGACCCTTTGTTTAAAGGGCTCCTCTCCCATTCCAAATGGATTGTGTCCCACTGTGACATGGGCTTGTTTGGGACTGTCTTCCGTCTACCTAAATGTAAACATCACACAAGCTGATATCTTGTGTGCCTTGTTCAAAGCCTAGGAGCTCAATGCATACTAGGAATGGATGTACTTTTTTATAAACTTTCTATACATGTTGTTAGAACACACTTATTCCAGCTAACGTGTACATACTTTCAAAGAATGAGCTTGTTCTTAACTCAATAACCCAAGCCCACAATTAGGCTCTATTTCTTCCAAGTTTCGTTTTCCTTTGTTTTGTTTTTGCTTTGCTCACAAAAGATAGTATTATTCCAAAGTTTCAAGGTTTTTGCCATGGAGATTTGGTGTAAATCATCAGAGAAGCATGACAATTTTTTTTTCTATGCCTTACTGAACCTTTGTCATCAAATCACCCTTTCAATCATATCTGTCTCTAAGAAGCTCCTTAGGCAAAGTTAGCATAGACTCTCATTCCCAGAATGAGCGCAGGAAGCTATTCAATCTACTGCTCTCTCACCTTAGTTCGGGGACCTAGATCCTCAAGCATCAGAGGCAGGTGAGGAGACCTTGTATATCCTGCCTACAAACACTGCACTGCTTTAATCTGTTACATGTATTAAAATTGTCATACAATTTTTAATTTAAAGAGCACGCTGACTGCCCTAGTTGACTCCTACTTCCCTGTATACACATGAGGAAACAAAATCCCAAGGGAAGAGAATAACATTCCCAGGGTAAGATAGATGCGAAATTAGAGTTAGAACTCAGGTCTCTGAAACACTCCGCCCAGTGTTTCTTAGACTTCAGGGCTTTCAAATGAGCCCAACACTCAAATGTTTTCCAACACCAAACTCTTGCCAAAGGATCATGGAGCACTCCTTCTTCTTGATGCTCTAGACCAGGCATGTCCAACTCATGGCATGTGGCCCAGGACAGCTAGTAACGTGGCCCCACAAAATCTTTTGACATCATGTGTTTTTTAGTGTTTATTTTCATCGTGACCCCATGTGTATGTCCATCTTTGAAGTTCACAATCATGTCTTATTTATGACATTGTTTTTTGGCAGCACATATGAACAACTGTTTTCAATTACGAAGCACACAATGAACAAAATTGGAGCAAGCATTTCTGACAAGCACCTTGAGAATGCCCTAAGAATTGCAAACACTTCCATGGAACCAGACAGACATTGATAGATCAGTTTTACAAAAACAAGGTCAAATTTCTCACGAGTTTTACATTGGTCTCACTTTTCTAAACTTTCTAAATATTTTTTTAAAAGAAGTTTTATTATGTATATACACTAATTATTTAATTTATGTGTGGCCCATGACAATTCCTCTTTACTCAATGTGACCTAGGGAAGCCAAAATGTTGGACACCCCTGCTATAGATGATAAATGATCAGAAAGCCTTAATCTCCCTCTCTATGTTCTAGAAGATAAGCCAGGTGAACAAAATTAAGGTACTGTAAGGTAGGATGTGACCAACATTATAGGCGAGACCAAAAATTATTGCTGGAAGAATTTATAGATGGGAGAATTTCTTTCTGGCTACAGAGAATCTGTGTTCATGTGAGCAGCTGTATTAACCTTTATCATGAGCAAAAGATGAACAATTACAATTTCTGATAAAATACAGGTTTGCTTTTACAAGCAGCTGTTCTGGCCTTAGCAGACACATCCAGAATGACATTATCATACATGTCTGCATCAGGACCATGTGCTGTCTTATAGTTCAGAATGTTGTAATTACATTTGTAATCCCTCTTTCTGCAATGATATCATTTGCTTCTAACACAAACCCAGATTGTTTGTGTGTTAAAATGTACAACCTGCCAACTTTGTTGGGGAGCAGAGCCAGTGTCTGCTTTATCCTTGCTTTATTCTTCTTTAAGAAAAGACGCTGTTTTTCTCTTTTTTTCTACTTTTTTGGCAATTGTATCTTATGCCCATAAGACAAATTTCCAGACCTTGTCCTTGGCAGCTTTGGCCAAGAGGGAGCCTGAGAAACTCTGTTGCAGCAGGCCAGGCACACAGTAGGGAGGACTCCTTTTTAGGGTAGGCCCTAAACTCTTGGTCCTTAAACAGATATGTGATTGTCATCACCTGAGAGGTTTCTTAGTCATGTGGATTCCTGGCCCCACTCTCAGAGCCAGGTCTATGGCAGGGTCAAGTAGGTGTATACAGACATCATTCCTTAAGTAATTTCCACTGTTCTTAGTTCCTGTATCAGGAATAATAGGAATAATGCAAGCTACAAATCTTATAGAATACACCTCATTATGGATATCATGGCTTAAAGAACAAAGCTGGTGTCCACTCACCTGGTCAGGAACACAGAGAAGACAAAGGAGCTACTTGTGACTTAGAGCTGCTTTAAGACCTAGGAAGACATAATTAAAGGTACCAGAGTGTGTCTGGAAGCCTCTCCTCCATTTAGGAGTTTAATTGCACAGCCATTACATCTTCACAATGGTGAAGGTCTCTGATCCCACCCCCTTCTTTCTAGCTCTGGCGGAAATTTGCTCGTCTTGCCTGTAACTTTGTGGTCATCTTCATTCCCTGGGAAATGAGGATAAAGAAAATCGAGAGTAAGTAATGTGCACTCGGAGCGGGGGGCGGAAATGCAGTGCTAGTGGCCAATCCACAGCCTGTGAAGAGTCTGGTGAGTCCTGGTTCTTATGCTGTGCAGCTGAGTGTACCCTTACAGCAGGGTCACCAGACTCCACAAGAGACAACAGGGGTGGAAGACACAGAGCCTTTCCCCACCATCTCCTTAGATGGGACCAACCTGTGCCTTTCCACATTCTTCCCCTGTTCATTCCTTCAGTCAGACCTCTGCACAAACCTCAAAAGGACCAAGAGAAAACCTGTGAGGATGAATGACAGAGTGACATGAGGAGCTGCAAAATACTAATGCAAACATCTGCATTTCATAGAGATGATCATGACCACTTAAAAAACATATACGGAAAAATATTTCACAATCATCACACTTACACACACACATACAAACAATACAAGGAATAAGTTTAACAATAAGTGTGAAATACAGAAAACTATAAAGTGGAACCACAGGATATAAAAGTCTTTTGAAGAGACATGAGAAGATTTAATATTTGAAAGATGTTGAGTTTTTCTAAAATCAATTTGCAATTCCAATTCCAACTACAATTTCCATTACAAAATGGAATTCCAATAAAAATTGCAATATATTGTTTTTGCTATTTAACAAAATGATCATAAAATTCATATGGAAGAAAAACATTCAAGAGACTAATTAAAAAATGTTTTAAAAGAAAAAAAATGCAAATAAAGTTGCTTGACCAAGATGCTAAAATACCTTGTAAAAGCTACAATAATTGAAACAATATAGCATAGTGCCAGAATTGACAGACTAATCTAAGGAATGAACAAAAAAGTTCAGGAACAGATACATACAAATACAAACAGACCTGCAGCAAATGATAATTATTGGAATCAGCTTAAATTACTCCATAAATATTGTGGGAACAATTAATTCAACTGTTTTAGAGAGTAAGTTTAGTTCCTTCACTTTAAAATGCCATTAAATATTTAAATAGGCAATAGGAAAGCATGAAAGAATTAAAGAAAATATAAGTGATATGATTGCTGAGTGAAGAACTATCTAATCATAAAAGTTAAGCAATAAACCATTAAGGAAAGCATCATACTTAATTATGTAAAAAATGTATTTGCATAATTAATAAAGTTAAAAGTAAGATGATAAATTGGGAAAAAATATTTTCTAACTTTAAGCAGAATTAAGCATTTTCTAATGTAGTTGGTGGAAATGTAATTTGGGACAATATTTCTAAAGGAAAGTTGTAATATACACCAAAATTCTTCAAAATATTTATATCCTTTGATAAAATGCTTCCATTTCCTAAAAACCACAAAAAACAACAGCAAAACCACAACAAACTCAATGAACAACTGTTGGTGCTCTCTCCAGGTCCGCTTTCCTTGGCGGTCTACCTTTTCCTCAGCTGCTCCAGTGTAGATGACTTGTGAACCACAGCTGCTCCCATCTCTAGAGAATTGCCCTTAACCTACTTCCTGCTAGATGTGAGTCATACATCATTGCAATCTCCCATCTCCCACCTAGAGCCTAGAGGCAATGACTATTGACAGCCAACAGTGTATTCTGACCTGGAGCTCCAAGTGGGATCAGCTCTGTGGTGCTATTAAAGCTGCAAAGCCCCCCAGTCTAAGCTAGACTCCAGCTGAGACACATCCACAGCTCTTTCCTCTGACCTACCCTGACTCCCTCACACCCTCTCTCCTGAGAGCACTTCCTCAGTAAATCATATGTAGCTGAATCCCTTTCTCAAGCTCTGCTTCTAGAAAACCTGACTGTAGACAGAAGTGATTTATTATAGAACTAGTCACTTTAATGAAAGTTGGAAACTTCCTAAATGTCAAGTAGTAGGAGGGAGGTTTAATACATTATGAAAAATTGGTCAGGCGCAGTGGCTCATGCCTATAATCCCAGCACTTTGGGAGGTTGAGGTAAGAGGATTGCCTGAACCCACAGGTTCAAGATCAGCCTGGGCAACTTGGCAAAACTTCATTTCTACAATAAATAAAAAAATTAGCTAGGCATGGTGGTGCGTGCCTATAGTTCCAGTTACTTGGAAGGCTGAGGTGGAAGGATCACCTGAGCCCAGCAGGTCTAGGCTGCGGTGGCCATGAGTGTGCACTGCACTCCAGCCTGGGTGACAGAGTGAGACTACAACTCAAAAAAAAATTATGAAAAATCCACTTGATGAAACAATGCAATTCATTTTATAGAAGAACATTTTTGGCATAAGAAAATATTTGTGATATACTGATAACTAAAGATGCATGCTGTAGAGAGATGTCAATTTTATTTTTAAAAAGTTTTATGTATAGAATATTAATGGAGGATTACATTAAAAGTTTAAAAGAAACTAATTCTAATAGTAATTTGAATTTAGTGGTCTTGGAGTAGGTAAATATTTTTGTTATCCTTGTGATGTTACGTGCTTTCCTGCTTACTATGACAACCATAAACCAGACTGAAAATAAAAATTCAAGAGTTCTTTCCCAAGTATGACATAAATCCACCCTACTCCAGAATGTTGTCAAAGTTCCACTTACTTCCTTATCTAACTTCCTCTATGATCTTAGATTTTTTCAACAGATTGAAATATGTTTTTTTACTATACTTTTTATTTTAGACTAAGTTTAAGTTTATGGTTGCAAAGAGAGCTTTCATGTACCCTTCACTCAGTTTTTCCTATAGATGACATCAAGCAAATTGTTTTTTATCTTGAAATTAAGGCAAGAAGGACACTTAGAAAAATCCTTGGAATTGTCAAAATGGTGAAAAATAAAAAAGAAATATATCAAGTTCCCAAAAGATGCTGACACTTCTTAACATACATGAAATATAACTTTGATAACAACATTTTAGACGAATACGTCACTAGGGAAACAACTGCCAAATAGTATTTTAAGCAAGCTAGAGATGTTTTCTCAATATGGAACTAGTAGATGTTCATGGGCATCTTGAGCCATCTACATTAGCATTGTGGGAGGAATGTCCTGATTGGTTCAATAATGGCCTTCTCGCTCTAGGTGTTGTAAGAAAAATATGGTGCTCTTCGGGGAGGTTTCTTGCACGATGAGGATTTTACGGATGCTGTGCTCATTCTCTTGTCTTTCTTCAGGTCATTTTGGATCTGGTGTTGCCTCCTATTTCATATTCTTGAGATGGTTATTTGGAATTAACATTGTGCTCACCATTATGACAGGTGCTTTTATTGTCATTCCGGAGGTAAGAATTGTCTTGGGAGAGAAAAAAACTACCATTCATTAAAAAGAGGAGACAGTAGTGTAGAAGCATAAAATGACTCCTCATTATCCCTGTGGGAAGGATAACGTATGTGTTCAAAGCAGGGCTCAGCAAACCTTTTCTGTAAAGTGTCATAGAGCAACTATTTTAGGCTTTGTGGGCCATTCGGTCTCCATTACAACTACTCAGACCTGCCATGTAGCACAAACACAGCCCTAGACACTACATTCATGAGTGTGCTAGGTTCCAATACAATTTTATCTACAAATACTGAAGTGTGAATTTTATATAAATGTAATGTGTCACAAAATATTATCCTTTTGATTTTTTTCCGACCATTTAAAAATGCAAAACTATTCTTAGCTCTTGAGCCATACAGAGAGAGACCACAGACTGGATTTGGCCTAGCCCAGTGTTAAAATAAAACCCCAACCATGTACATTATTTGGGTGATATACACTAAAAGCCCATATTTCAACACGACATGATATATCCATATAACACAACTGCACTTGCATTCTTTAAATTCATACAAAGATAATAAATAAAACCCATTGTTCAACTAAGCTTCAGCCTCAAAAAGTAAATGGGCCATTTCCCATGCCATCATGGAAAACACGGGACCTCAATAGATCACCCACAGAAGCCAGAGAGCGTAAACCCAGACAGGCCCTGATCAGGCAAAAGGAAAATCTGGCTACCCATGATTAATTTTCCACCAGAGAATTAAGCAGAAACTCACTCCCTGGATATCCTGTAGGTGTGTGGCATCTTCACAAGCACCTGGAGAGCCACCTCGCCCTTGCTCCTGGTCCCCTCCCACCTGGAGGACCACATGGCACTTTTTCCTCTCTCACCAGCTGATTGCAGGCCAGCCCTTCGGTAGCACAGCCAGCAAGACCATCCCCAAGGAGCACATTGCGTCTGCCCAAGACCTGGACACTGTCTGGTCCCTGGGGGTGAGGTTGATGCCTGACCACACTTTTGCCTTGAGACGGAGGGTGAACGGGCCACCGTGGTGGGACCTGGGAATTGGAAATGACACCAAGTGTTCTTTTTGCAGGGCTATCTCCAGTACTCAGTCCTTTTCTACGGCTACTATGGCAGGGAGAGGCGGATCGGGAGAGCTGGCTACCGGTTGCCCTTGGCATATTTCCTGGTGGGGATGGCAGTGTTCGCTTACAGCTTCATCATTCTTTTAAAAAAGTATGACTGCTCGATTTCTCAAAATACATGTTAAGAATTATATGTGCAATCTCATTTAATCTTGTCAATAACCCTGTAAAGCTAAGGTTTAACTAACTATACCCATTTTACAGATGAGGAGGCCAAGGCTAAAAGAGATATGTTCTTTTTTTTTTTTTTTTTGAGTTGGAGTTTCACTCGGTCGCCCAGACTGGAGTGCAGTGGCCGCTCCCGGCGACCGCAGCCTCGACCTGCTGGGCTCTGGCAATCCTTCCGTCTCAGCCTTCCAAGTAGCTGGAACTACAGGCACACGCTACCACGCCCAGCTAATTTTTTAATTTATTGTAGAGATGAGGTCTCACCTGCCCAGGCAGTTCTCGAACCTGTGGGCTCAGGCAATCCACTCACCTCAGCTTCCCAAAGGCGTGGGGTTACAGGCTGAGTCACTGAGCCCGGTTAGATATGTTCATTTTTAACCAGCACTTATTTTTCTGTGTTGGATCTGGAGAGACAAGAATTGTATAGATTTACCAGTTAATGTCATTTTATGTAGCAGCTGGTTGCAGAAAGCAAGACATCCTCCTTTGGCTGTGTTTGCCTGTGACCTAGCTACAAATGCTACCAAGGTCAGGTTTGTCTGTTCTGTGATGCAGTAGGCACCTCTAGTTCATCATTCAAAGGAGGCAAAAGACACAACCTGACTGGGGGTTAGGAGTCCTGAGCCACCCCCACCGTAAGGGCTGCAGCAATTCACTGTCCCTCCCTGGTCTCAGCTGTAAAATGGGCAGATTGGCTCAGAAAATCACTGAGTTCCCTTCTAGTTCTCTGCAGGAGCCAGGTAAATGCAGATGGACAGGCACCAAGCCCCCAGGAAGAGCATGGCCCCACCCATCTCAGCTCACTGCTGTTTCCATCTGACTTGTGTCATCATCAGTCACCACCCCGCTCCCTTGTGGCATGTTGGTAAAGTGCAGGTAACCAGGCCTGGGATTTTGAAAAAGACAAACAGCTGAAGGCAGTGGCTAACACCTGTAATCCCAGCACTTTGGGAGGTGGAGGCGAGAGGATTTCATGAGTCCAGGGAATTGATACCAGCCTGGGCAATGTGGTATGACCTCATCTCTACAGTAAATTTTTAAAATTAGCCAGGTGTGGTGGTGTGTACCTGCAGTTCCAGCTACTTGATAAGCTGAGGCAAAGGATCTCCTGAGTCTAACAGGTTATGGCTGCAGTAGCTCTGAGCATGCCACAGCACTCCAGCATGGGCCACAGAGTGAGACTCCAACTCCAAAAATTCAAGCAAACAAAACTTAAGATGCACAGTGACTTGGGGAGGCCTTCTATTTCCCCCAAGCTTTCCAGCTTAGCTCCCAGTTGTCTCCTGGCCCCACCTGGAGACCCAGGTCCTTTACTAGGTGTTACAATTTAAGACACAAATCAGAGCAAATTTGGGAGCAAGAAATATGGACAGAAAGGAGAGCTAAAAGCTTGTAACAGGAGAAATGGTCTAAAGAACAGGGAATTTCACCTGAGGTGGGATCATGACCCCTGCCTTCAAATATCTGAAGGAATGTCACGTGCAGGAGGGACCCAACATGTCCTTTGGGGTCCCAAGGGGTAGAGTTTCCCAAGGGCAGGAGCTCCAAGAAGACTGAGTCATGTCAAAGGAAAAAAATTTTATTTCACAATCACACAGAGGTGAGACTCACCAGCTCCAAGGGTCCGGCAACAGCCCCCTATTCCTGAGACTCCTGTGACATGTTTGGGGTTCTTTTTTGCAGGATGGCCAAGAACTCCCGTATGAGCCTTGCCAGTGCTTCCAATGAAAACTACACCTTCTGTTGGCGGGTGTTCTGTGCCTGGGATTACCTCATAGGAAGCCCAGAGGCTGCAGAGAGCAAAACAGCCGCCATTGTGAACAGCATCAGGGTGAGTGAGCTTGTGCAGGAGGCCAGGAGGGTGCCATCAGGTCTGGGAACTGCAGATCACAGCATGGCTGAGCTAGCCACTGGCCTTCTGCTGGACCCGTGGTACTCGTGGACCAGGGAAGCTGTTTCCAAAGTGAGGTGATCAGGCCTCAGGAAATGCACCCAATGACCCAATGGAATGTAGGAAGAACATCTTGGAACACTTCTTTGTTGTATTTTTTAAAATTTCATCTTTTGAAAATTTCAGTTTGTGTATTTTTGATGGTTTACATAATGAATTCTTACCATGTTGCATTATATAACCAGAAAATTAATAAATACATATATGTGGGGGATAGAGGCTTTTATTTTCAACTTGGAAGACAATGTAATCAAAAGCATTCAGAAACTTGTCTCTACTGACCTACACAGACAACTAAAGGGTGCCTTATTCTGAGAAAAAAAAATTATTTGTTTAAAAAATTCAAGTTATCATACCCATACCCCCATACCATCTCCATTCCTTCCTCCCAATCCCCGATTTTTTATTCAATTAATTTTAGATAATTGATATCTAATTCATGTATATCCATATAATCTTACAGAATAAATTCTTAGACTTTCAAGGTATGAGTTAAATTACTAGATCAATTATTTCTAATGATTTATAATGAATGATGATGCCAAACTTTTAATGCTATGTGTTTTTCCTTAAAGGAGGCTATACTGGAAGAACAGGAAAAAAAGAAAAGCAAAAACCTGTAAGTACTAATGCTCGCCATGTTGAATTCATTGATAAGTTTTGTTTCAATTTGGTACAAAAATTACCAGACCATCGATATCGTATTTTCACAAATGTCAAGCGGTTCTTCTTTCTTCTTCTTTTTTTTTTTGAGTTGGAGTCTCACTCTGTCGCCCAGACTGGAGTG